ATTAATTTCACCCTACAAAATTAAAACCATTTCCGTGTTATATGTTATACAATTTCCAGTTTCAAATCTCAGATTATACATATATTTATATATTCCATATATAACAATCGATCATGAAATTATAATCTCCGTTATCGACTTTTCTCTCGAGTTAATTACTATATGGAGTTCCGTAATTCTGTCCACAAATCGTTTCGCATAATTTGGTTGATTGCGATCGCTACAACTGGATAGCATATGTCGATACTCACCCTCACAACTCAACTGGATAACCGAACCGATCACCGGTTTGACTTTGAGGTAGATGAAGGGTATAATTGTCCACTCAAAACTCTGGCTCCGGGCGGGACCCAGAGCATCGATCTGGCCCGGATCATCAAGTGCTGCAGAGAGCGCTGGTCCCACGACTGGAAGATCCGGGTTATGATCGGTAACGACTTCACAGGCATGTATCTACATCCGAAATATCACTTATTATGTTGCACGAAGATTGTTTTCGACTACGAACGAAAACCACAATTAGGGTTTGATGTTCTTGTGATGCGAGGGAGTTGGGAGAAGGGTGTCGATTGCTTCCTTCGTCTCAAGTTGTCTTTCTCTCTCCTCTTTTTTTTTTTTGGTGATGGAGATTATTATAAAAAAAAAATGTAATGTGAATTAATTATTATTTTGATGCAATATATTAGATAATTGTACCGTTGATATTATATTCTTATATTTATTATATAGGGGTATCGATCGTATTGTTCCGAGGAACGTTATATGGAACGGGAGGCCCTTCGTCGTAATTGCACTTGCCGATCCACGATGGAATAAAAATTTGAGGTAAAAAAATAAAATTATTATAAATGAATAAAAAAAAATTATACACAGATCAATATTTTGCATAATTTTACATATATAATTATATATATTGGTTGCAGAGATCAGATTGAAGATGCACACAACATAGTGGCGCCATTGGTACTAAGAGACGAGAATATTACCAATATACCACTAAGGTAACTATTTTTTAGGGTTTTCTTGCAAGAATTCTCCCTGTGTAATTTTTAATTGCCGAAAAAGACCCTCTTGTTAAAAAAAATTAGCAAGGGATCCCTCTATCAAAGTTAGTCAAAGTCAAAAAAATCCGCTAGCAGCTTTTCGTGATGCCTAATCTCTAAGTCAAGTGCTAAATGTATCAAATTATAAGGGGACGATAAGCTGTATAAAACACAACATAGGGGGATATTTGCTAATTGTTTTAATATAAGGGGTTTTTCGGCAATTCAAAATTATACAGGGGTCCCATGCTATTAACTTCTAGTTTTAAATGTATTAAATTATTAATAAGTATAAATTAAAATAAATAGAGTAAACTCAGGGGAAAATTAATTAAACAAGAATCATTTATTATATATTAATAAAAAAAATTAATTTTTTTATACACAAATCAATATTCTTGCATATCTTTTTACTTGTATATGTTGGTTGCAGAAAGATTGAAGATGTACCCAACATAGTGGCGCCATTGGTACTAAGAGACGAGAATATTACCAATATACCCCCACTGAGGTAACTATTTGTTATGTATTTCTAAGTAAAAATTAAAATTAATAAACTCAGGGGAAAATTAAACAAGAATCAATTTTTTTTTCTGTTTTTGAATTTTTAATCTATTAGACAGGCTGCATCTCCACCAAGGAGGAACCACCGGAGCTCGAGCGCCGCAGCCACATCTCCGCCCGAGCAAGAGAGAGTGAGGAGGCGGAGCCGCCGCCGCGTCGCAGCGGCGGCAGTGAAAACAACCAACACCACTAATTACCGTGCAGCTGCGGCGGAGCGGAACCAGAAAAAAGTACCATCTTACTACCATGCACCCTCGGCGGCGCATCGAAGGCAGTTAGACGGATTCGTTTACGTATTCCTCTTCGTGGTGGCGTTTTCTTTTTCCGTATATCTGCGTTTCTTTTTACGTCTATAATTAATCATGCTGAATTTCGTGATGTGTGTGTATATATTTGGATCTTCGATCAAGTTAATTTGTACGTTTGTATTAATGCTTTTGTGCGTGACACTATTTTGTTGTAATTAATATATTTTGTATATATATTTGATGTTTGGCTGTTTGGGATTTAGAACATGCTTACGTGTGTTTTGACGAGCCGGGTTGGCCTGAACCAGCCGGATCCAATCCTGACCCGGTTCTTTTGCATGCGGTATAAATTACAAGTCCATTATATATGCTTTATGCTTTAAATTTTATACTTGATGGAAAATTAAAAAGAAAAACACACACACACACACAATAATTAAGATTTACTCTCTCTCTCTCTCTCTCTCTCTGTGTGTGTGTGTGTGTGTGCAGTGGCGGAGCCAGGAATTCGAGACAGGGTGGGCTTAACATTAACGGGGGTTCGGGGGCAGCGCCCCTGATTTTTTTTTTGATTCATTCACATAAAAATATAGCACAAAATAACTACAAATTAATAAACTTAAACTAATATAAGCTATATTAAATTATTTGGGTGGGTGGGCTTAACATTGACGGGGGTTCGGGGGCAGCGCCCCGATTTTTTTTTAATTCATTAACATAAAATAGCATAAAATAACCACAAATTATAAACTTCAACAAATATAACATAAATTTTTTGATGGATAAGCTAAACTAAATTACTTGGGTGGGCTAAATTAAACTATTTGGGGGGCTAATTATATATAGATATAATATATAGTATAAATTTTTAAATAATGAGAGTGGGCTGGAGCCCACCCTTGCCAAAGGGTGGCTCCGCCACTGTGTGTGTGTGTGTGTGTTTGAATAAGTCGATTGAGAATTAATGACTCGGGCCGGTCCATGAATAAGTCGATTTCATGGACTTGATCTACGTTATTTGCGTGTCCGAAATATCTATACTTTAGTTATGTTATGTTTTTTTTCAAAATTGGCAATTAATATTGATGTGCACTCTTCACCAAACTTTTTTTTTAAATTAAATATCGAAAATATATTGCTTATTTTCCCAAATAATATCAACTTAAGACCAAATTTCGTTTTATTACAAACATTAGCTTAATCTTCATTTAAATATTCCACATATATAGTCCCATTAATTAAGTACCAAGGGTACACACAATTTTCCAATTATTCTTTGGCATATTACAAATTAAATATTATTTTTGCCTCAAAATAACTTATTTCCAATATTCATTGTAGAATTATATTTTTTTCAAAAGTCATATATGTTCAAAAATATTATGTCGTTTGAAATTAGTAATTAGAGACATATTAACAAAATAAATAAATAAAAGGGTCCATTTGATATACACCCCTAGAATGGAAAATATATAGGGATAGGTCCACCCCTAAAATTCTTTCTTTGAGATACCCCCTGGAGATGCAAAAGTACTATTGTGCCCTTAAGTGTAATTTTCGCCCAACTGTATTTAGTATTTCTGCCCCTACATTCAGCATAATGTTGAACTGCATTTAGCATTTTGGGCCAGCATTTATCATTTTTATATATTATTTTAATAAAAAATATAAATTCTTATTTTATTATTATTTTTTATACATATCGTATTTTGTATTTTTTTATTTTTTTTTATTTTTAATTTTTTTAATTTTTTTTAATTTTTAATTTTTTTAATTTTTTTAATTTTTTTAATTTTTTTAATTTTTTTTAAAATTTTTTAAATTTTTTTTTAATTTTTTAATTTTTTTTTAATTTTTTAATTTTTAATATTTTAATTTTTTTTGATAAATTTATTGTACTGAATTGACTATATATGACTACAGTATACCACAGTCATGTATAGTTATACGTAATCATATACTGTCTTTTTACCCCAAAATTAATCTAAACCAACAACAAAATTCACAATTTAATCTTGATATTATAAATCAACTAACCCAAAAATAATGAAAAAACACAATCACATGCATATAATCTTCAAAACATGAACACGCATTACTAAACATTAAAAAAACATAACATACATATAAATATATGTTACTACACGTGACTACAGTTATATACAATTATCTATAGTTATATAAGTGGCATAAGTCTGGAGTACTGTAGCATGAATCCAACTTCACAAAGGCACTTCATCGAATTTTATTCTCCGCATGTCATAAAACTATAATAAAAGCAAAACCTGCGACAAAAAAATAAGAGTTAAATAGCAAAATGGAACATGCGAGTTAGATTACATGAAAAATACAAAAAAATATGATTTTTTTGTTGATAAATTTACTGAACTAAAATCGACTACAAATGACTATAGTATACTACAAGTCCTATATACAGTCATGTATAGTTACATGTAGTCATGACTATACATGACTACATGTGACTGACTATATATGACTGTATATGACTAAATATAACTGTATATTCATCTGACTCAAATTAACCATTTTAGTAACCACTACTCGTTAACTTTCTATTACAGACAAACAAAGCTCTCACACATTA